AATCATGAAACGACGAGCATCAACTGAGTTAGAGGATGATGGTGTTGGCCCATTGGAAACCCATTATGAAGACTATAAAGATCCTAATTCAAATGTATTTGTTTTTCGCGCTCCTCCTATCTCATCAAGACTCAAGCGTTTAATGAGATTGGATTTCAATTTTCCAATTGAAAATCCGTTTGAGTTTATAGCAATTGCAACTGCAGATCCAGAAAGTCTAAAGCCAACTAGGCCATCAAATAGGCTTCCTGCTTTTCCTGTTATTTTTCCAAAAACGGGCGGTTTGATGACAGATTTTTTGTCTTGGTTTCCTATGGCATCAGGTATGGGCGAATTATTGGAATTGAAATATGATGGAAAAGTGAGATCTAAGTTATCAGCTAGATTCGGTATTGCAACAATTTTAACACACTATAATCAAGATATACCTAAATACGATCCGAATCAATCACTTTTTATAAATTACTGTGATGTTAAAGACTTATATGGGGATCATGTTGAATTCTCTGAAGAACGTTGGGATCATTCAAAAGTTCAAGAACGTTTTATGCTGGCAGGTGATTTGTATATCAAACAACATTGTTCAACGCCTGATTACACATTGCACACTGATATATCTTTGGCATTTGCTCGTTTTATATTCATGTGCACTGGAAGAAGACCCAATGAAGAATGTTGTCAACTTATTACTACCTTATGCCAAACTCGTGATAAGTTCTCATTCATTACTGATGATATGAAATACTGGGAAGATGTAAATGCTCTGAGTGAATCAGATAAAATGGCAATATTTACCGAATTGGTTAATAACAAGTCACAATTGAGTCTTGTTTTTCAAATTTTATTGGATCGTCTTAATACATATGGATGGTTTACACTGCATACAGTGTTGGATGCGATTAAAAAATTTCCAGCTATACCTTGGCTCGATATCTCTCAACGATGGTTTAGCGGTCAATTAGAAAAGTTCCAAGAAGCATGCATAGCATTCCAAAAATCAAAATTTGCTGTCCTTGATAAACAACTCGTGATTAAACATGGTTTTCTCCGATATAAAGAATTAGTCGGATTCTGTTCACATTTGTTGACTAAGGCAGGTGTTAAGAGAAAGATTTTCTTTCGTACGAAATTAACTGAGGAGCAGCACATTTATATTGAGAGTATATTGACTCATGGAATTAATGAACCCATTCCGATGGATGAAAGTTTATTACGCGCTATCAACGGAATTCCTGGTATTGAAATGTCTGATGGTGAAATTTCAGAATTCTTAGCTCGTATTAAAAAAGAAGTTGAGGAATATGATGAATTTTTGAAAGAATTCAATAGAAAATCGTTATTCGAACAGAACGATATAGCAGTGCAGGATTCATTGAACTAATTCACTCATTTGAACAACCTGTGTCTCACTAATCAACATTATAAACAGTAAAAATATTGATTCATTATTCCTTTTCCAAAACATTTTTAAAACTATTTTTGAAATAAAAAACTTTGTATTGAATTTGTATCTTGCTAATTGGCAGAAATTGAATAAAGAACTTGAATTTTGAAAATTTAATTTTGTCCACTATGATTTATTGAATTAGGATTTTCAAACACCAACAGTTTTCATCATGTTACTTGAAATTGGAATGTCGTTTATGCACAACTACAAAAAGCTCAGCATTGAAAAGAGCATGTTGAAAAGGAAAGTTAATAGCTGTGTTGTCAATTGTGAACTTGACTTTGTGGTGTGAGCACGTTGTCAGACTCATGATGAAATGAAACTTGTTGTTTTTGTTAAACATCTAATTAAGAATTCTATTTTGTGTGATTATTCTGTTGCGAATTAATTGTGATACGATTATTTTGATGTTTATTAATTAGAAGTTTTTTGATAAGTTTTCCCTAAAAAAGTTTTTGTGAATTTTCCTTTTGATGTTGAGTATTTCATCATCGACTCAGTTTCTATTTGTTTTGAGTAAAATTTTCAAAAAAATGAAAAATCATTCCCGAAAAATAAAGACGGTGAAATTATCTTGTTACAAATTCCCCTGATTAATTGTGATTAGAATAATTGTTTGTTGATGATTGGAAATTTTTATTGAGTTTTCGAAAGTTTTTTTTAAAATTTTCCTTCTTGTGTTCAGCACGCGCATTTCATCATCGACTCATTTTTTTCGAACAAACTTTTTGAAAAGTGCAAAATCATTCCCCAAAAAATGCACACTGCGCATATTGTTTACATTTCATCACTCGCTCTTTGTTTGTGGTTATCAAC